AAGTCGTCAACCCAAGACGCGTCTGCGTGTCCAGTGAGGAAAATTGGACCCCGTCCTCCAACCACGAGCCCCATGCCCAATGTACTGCACAAGTAGCGCAACACCCTCTTAGCGGCCTCCCAGTGCTCTGGTCGGTGTCTCCCGGGCGCAACGTAGCGTGCCAGGATGCTAAGAGGGTAGGCAAGGTCAGGTCGAGTGTAGGTCATCAGGTACATGAGGCAGCCCACAAGCTCTGGATACGGGCCACTCGGCTGTACGGACTCGTCCGAAGGTGGAGCTGAGAGTGAGTGATCGGTAGGCAGAGTAGTGGACTGTGGCGAGGAGTACCGGAAGCCGAAGCGCTGAAGGACCTGGTGCACCATGTGTGACTGAGTCAAGGTGATGGTGCGCCGTGCTCTGTCCCGGGGGATCTGCAAGCCAAGATAGCTGCGCAGCTCACCCAGGTCAGTGTAGGTGTGTCTCTTCTGCATCTCCGACTTCACAAGGGCCATTCAGGGCACGGCAGGGCGGCGCACGGCCAAGACAGGGCGGCGCGTAGGGCAGGGCAGGGCAGCACGCGGGCAGGGCAGAGTGGCGCGCTGGCAGGAAATGGCGACGCGCGGCTAGCAGGGCGACGCGCGGGCAGGCTGCAGGGAGGCGCGCGGGCAGGAACGGCGGCGCGCGGCGAGTAGGGCGGCGCGCGGGCAGGAAAGGGGCGGCGCGCAGGCAGGGCAGGGCGGCGCGCGGGCTGCAAAGGGCGGCGCGGCGTCCAGCAGGGCGGCGCACAGGCAGGGCAGGGCGGCGCGGCAGCCAGCAGGGCGTCACGCGGGCAGGGCAGGGCGGCGCGGCGGCCAGTAGGGTGGCGCGCGGGCAGGGCAGGGCGGCGTGGCGGCCAGCAGGGCGGCGCGCGGGCAGAACAGGGCAGTGCGCGGCCGGTAGGGCGGCGCGGCAGCCAGCAGGGCGGCGCGACGGGCAGGGCAGGGCGGCGCGGCAGCCAGCAGGGAGCGCGCGGCCAGCAGGGCGGCGTGACGGGCAGGGCAGGGCAGCGCGACTGGTGGGGCAGCGCGACGGGCAGGGTAGGGCGCTACGAGCAGGGTAACGCGCTATAGGCAGGGAACTATTCAGTGGGCCCTAAAAAAAACGGTTATGGAACAGGACCCGCTCTGAAACCATGTCAGAATACTGAAAGAGAATGAATGCATTGAGAAGAAAATTGCTACAAGTACTAACCCTAATTGGGTTGTACCCCTTGTGGGCTACCCCACTACAGTCTACACAATATAAACATTATAACAGTTTGACAGAACCACCGTGGTTGAACCCCCGCAACAGGTGCCGGTATGCGCGACTCTGGGTGACCACGCGCAGAAACGACGGATAGTAACGAACCGCGAAACGACGAGAAAACATTACGAAACAAGAAAACAGAATAGAAGAATCCCCTTTTCTCTCCCTCTCTCTCTCTCTCTCTCTCTCTCTCACTCTCTCTCTCTCTCTCTCTCTCTCTCTCTCTCTCTCTCGAACGGTCCTTTGCATTAATAGGCGTATAAGATTCAACCAAAACCAGCAAGCAAGTGATAACGAGACTATGTTTCTCCTCTACCCCACCCCCCCTAACAATAATCTACCCCTTCCCGTTCCCCGGCTCTAGAGTGGCAAAGCGGTCACTCGGGTACAAATATCCTTCTAACCCGCTCACTGGTGGGTTCTCAATCTGAGCCGCCATGTTGAGTTTGGTGAGGTAGCTCACGGCCCGAGCCTTTTGAAGGGACACCGACCAGCGCTGGCGGTATTGGTGCAACATCTTCGCCGCCTGGTAGGATTTGAGGGGAGCATTGAAGTGTCTCCGGGCTGCTGATTCCGACAGTTGCTTGAGGAAAGCCGGGACCTCGTCACACAGGCAGCCATAGGTCTCTACTGCGAGGGGGAAGAAGCCGGCAAAAGACGAGCGGTTTGGGTAGAGGTCTATCTTTTTGTCGGCTGCTTCCCTTGCTGCCCATCCCCTTCCCTTTGTGGTCTGCTCGTCCCTCTTGCTGATCGGGTCCGTGATCGTTATGTCCCCCAGCCACACCGAACGTGAGGTACGGTCCCAGATGGCGATATCCGCTCGCTTGTTGTCCACTGGGCTGAACACAGTTGTTTCCCTGTGTGTCATGTACCCCGCATCTTCTGCCATACGGGCACACTCATCACGTAGTTTGTTATGGGTGTTCGTGCGCCCCCTCCCAAAGCCGCAGCGTAGGAGGTGGTTCGGGAGCCACTTATCCGTGATTTTAGTCATGTTATTGCAGTCACAGTGGCCCGGTACCGGTAGGGGCATGCCCAGCCGAAACTGTAGGGCGAATGCAAAGTGCTCCGGGTTGAGGCGGAGGCTGTTCATGTATGGGATGGCTAGTAGTCAATCCCCGGCCCCATACCCTGAAAGGGAGATCAGCCGCTGCGTGTGGCCTTTCCACGGGTTCAGCTCCATCCGTCTTGAGGCGGCGACCTGCTCCGCGTAGCGGCTGGCCTGGGTGAGGCGGGCTAAGCGGTGTTGCAGCTGCCCTGTTGGTTTTGCCAGTTCTACCTCCAGGAACTCCTTAGCCTCCTGGCATAGTGCCCCTTTGCAGCCGTGCAGCCATGCTTGCAGTGGGTCCGGGTCGGGGTCAATTTCGGGCGACCAGGAGAAAGCCGCTGTCAAGGTGGGTCCCGCAGTCCCAGGTACGTCTGTGAGCAGTGTCATTGCCTGGACGAAGCTTGCTAAGTAGCTGTACCGTCCCTCCACTGCTGGGTCCGAGAGCCCAACCCCCCCTAGGGACGGAGGGAGGGATGCCTGTCCCCATGCCCTGTTCTCCTCCTCCTCTCCCCTAGGTGGCTGGACCCCACAGGCTTTGAAGAGGGTGAGCAGCAGAGCGTGTCCCCATTGGGACCATTCGGCCTCCGGGAGCATGTAGAGTGGAGTGGTACGGGCCAGGTAAGAGCTGCGTCGGGAGATGCACTTCATGAGTAGCAATGACGCCAGCTGGGGGTCCATCCTAGCAATGAGAGGCAGGGGTGAAGACAGTGTTTCGAGCTGCCCTCTTAGGAATGCTGCAGCTCCTGCTGTTGGGCCGATGTAGCTCCCAAGTACTCTTAGGCCCGCCGGGTAAAACGGCACACCCTCCGGTAGGACGCACCCGTCCGCTCCCCGAGCGCTCCACGCCGCGCATTTCGCGGGGTTGTGTGTCAGCCCCGCCCTTCAAAGTCCGTTGGTGAAGTGATTGAACGCCGCGGTGCAGTCTTCCGCATTCCCTAAGAAGGTTACGTCGTTAGCGTAGGCTAGGCATAACACTGAAGGGTAAGCGGCGGCTGTGTCTGTTAGAGCTGGGTTGATGCTTGCTGCAAAGAGGAGGGGACCGAGGGGGTCCCCTTGGCGCACGCCCGTCTCGCTGGTGAGTGGTGGGCTGTGGAACTCATTGTCTAGGTAGAGCAGGGATGGCGCACCGTAAGAGACCTTGGTTAGTGGAAGTAGCCCCTCTAGGGGTGATCCTCTGAGGGCCTCTACTATTGCGCTCCTGCTGATGCTATTGAATGCATTTGTCAGGTCCGTCTGCAGTATCAACGCGCCTGGGTGTGAGGTCATGTACGCACGCGCCATGTGGACTATGGCCTCGCTTCCTCCCTGGACCGCCACGCAATACTGGAAGGGGAGGAAGAAGCTGCGCGCTGTTTTGGTGAGGGTTGCTAGTGCTGATTTGGCGGTTAGGCGTAGGAGGCATTCTCCGACGGCTATTGGCCTTGTGCCTCCTTCCGGCTTGGTGAGTGCGATCAGTCGTGACGAGGTGAGAAGCGAGCACACCTTGGGTGGGAGGGATCCTCTCATGATAGTGTTGACTAGTGCGTGAAGATGGTTGTTTACGCAGGGATTAGTGATAGCGGCGTCGCGAAGATGTTCGAACATCATTCCAGAGGGCCCGCCACCTACGCCAATTTCACTTCGGCAGAGAATTTTGGTGAAGTCGGGCTTGGAAATTTCTGGGGCGGATGTGGGGGCTGTGGTATTCCAGTCGGTGGTGCTGGGGGGTGCTTTGAGTTCAATGACTCGAGCACCTCAGGTGAAGGGGTGGCTACTGGCGTCGCTTCGAGTGCCAGCACTGCACGCCTGAGGCTCCCTTTGCGCGCCAATCCTTCCGCTCTGGCACACGTGCCCAGGGTGTCCTGATGGTGGCGTGGCGGGGCGGGGTCAGATATTGCTGCCACGCTGGCCTTGTAGAGCGTATCCCATTCGCCTTGGAAGAATTGGCGGAGTCGAAGTGTCACCGCCGGCCAATCTGGTTTAGATGGTGTCGCCTGGCGAAGGGTTAGGCGCGGGAGAAAGAGTAACAGGCGCTAGCCCGCGACCGAGTCGGGGTTTCGTGAGAGGTGTACCAGTGGCGTGAGCAGAGCCATAGTGAATTGCAGGCGAATTTCTGACGGTAATTTTCGTGCCAGCGGGGCCTGGCGACTGTCGCGAAGGTGGGTCAGGTCCCAATTTCCCACCCTGGCAAAACGCTCGTTGTCTCTCGTCAACTGCTCGGCTGGAAAATGGCGGGGCTGGGTGTCAGCACCCATCTGGACCGGTCCAGCCAAGTTTGCTCCCCTCCCTGTGCTGTTTTGAGCAGGAGCGGTCTGTCGATGTGCCGCAGATGGGATTCTGGCTGCGGCCACGGCTTCCGTTTTCTCTCTTGCTGAGCCATCGGTGGACGAGCTTACTCCCACCGGAGGCACATATGTGGCATCTCTTCTCTCCTCGTCTTCTGTCGTTATCGCTCGATGTAAAGCCCTTCTGGCCGCACGCTGGAAACCATTCTCTGGTCCGCCACCTCCTCCCCTCGAGGTCTGCTGTTCTGCGCCTTGTCTAGCTTGTAATGCCAGTGGCACTTGGTGACGATTACCCATTCCCGTATTCGCCACGGCCCTTTGGCGTGGCGTCTGCTACGCTTGCCTCACCACTTCTGTCGCCACTTGCTGAGCCCATGGAAGGGATGTCTGCCACCGGTTCACCCGCTCCTGTGACGGGCTCCATGGTAGTCGACTCTGCACGAGTGTCGCCTGGTGTGCCCGTGCCAAAGACGACCGTAGTGGCGTCGGTATCTCTGCCTGCCGTCGCTCTGCCTCCTGCGGCCGTCTTGGCGCCTCCTCTTGCGATGGTCGCCGCGTCTCCTCCCGTGCCTCCCGCTATGGCGTTGCCTTCGTCTGCTGCTGTGCCGGCCATCGTGGAGGCGGTTGCAAAGGCACCTGCCCCAGCTGAGGCGCCTCCTCATGCATCTGCTGCCGGCCCGCACCCTGTAGCTTGGGTGGCAGAATTGATGGCGCTCGTGGCTGCATCGCCTGGTGCGTCTGGCGAGAAGCCGGCCCCTCCACCTGCTGCATCGCCTTTCTCGGATGTCGCTGCCGTCCCGTCGGCCGGGGCTGCGCCTCTATTGCCTCAGAACGATCAGCGGATTCCCGATCCTCAGCGCCGACCTCCCTCTCTTGGGCGCCGTCCGTCCCGTCCACACTCGCCCTCGCCTCGTGGAGGTCGTGAGTTGTCGCGGCATCGGCAGGAATCACCTCAGCGCCGCTAGTCGCAGGCGAACTGGCCGGCGCACCGCGGCAGACGTGGTGGCTGGAAGGGAGGTCATGGTCGCGGGCGTGGAGGCGTGTATCAAGCGCCGTTGACCCCGGCTGGCACTCGGCAAATCGTGACGGCGGCGATGCACGAAGAGCGGGCCGAGGCAGCGAGTCACAGCAGTTTGCAGCGGGCGTTGCAGTCGCTGGTGATAGCTACTCCTGTTGCGTATCCGGTGGCTGCTCCGTCGACAGCGGCACCTGTTCCGGCTCCCTTGGCCCCTGCTCGTGGTGGTGGGCTTTCGTCTACTACTGGTGATCCCCTCCCGTCCCTTGCAGATGCTCTTCTTCCCCCGCAGATTCGTGTTCCCGAGGCAACACTTGGTCATCTGTGGTGGCTCGCTGAGAGCCTCCGCGCGCTTCTACTAGTCCAGGCTCTGGCACACGCTTCCCTCCCATCCTTTCCTGCCGGGTCTCTGATGGATGGTCCGCGTGATGATTGTCTTGACGCTGCTGACCAGCTTGCCTCCCTCCTGGCGCCTGTGCTGGCCGCGCCCGTGCGGGGAGGCGTTGGGGCCGTGGGGCAACTCGATGCTGCTGTTCGGGGCTTGAGGAGGTGCCTGCGTGCAGGCTCTGGAGCCGACGCGATCGGCGCAAGTACACTGGTCGTTCGGGAGGTGTGGCGGTCCTTGACGGGCATACTTCTTGCCTTGCAGGCGGATCGCATGTAGTCGCCACCTCTTGTTGCTCCATTTGTGCTCCTTTGCTTTCTTGTCTTAGGTGGTCTTAGGTTTTGCCATCACTTGTAACCATTGCTTATAGTCGGTTGTTTGTGTTGTCCCCTTGCGGTCCCCTAACGCGCGGCCGAAGGCCGCGCTGTCGAGCGTCGGCCGCCTTCGGCGGCCGGCGCGAGCCGCTGGGTTGGAAGAACTGAAACCAACACCAAATAATGAGCTCGGAACGAAGGCCCAAGGCCTTTAATACTAGGGGTAGGAGAGGCTGAGAGGCCAAGGGACTAAGGGACTAGGTGCCTCTCTCTCTCTCTCTCTCTCTCTCTCTCTCTCTCTCTCTCTCTCTAATGGTCTTTGTATTGATATAGCAGCAAGGTACAAACATGCAACTCATAGGTAGCAACTTGTCAAGGCACAAGGAGACACAGAAACCTCCCTACAATTCCACAAAAGGCTCAATGACCGCAAAGCAGTCCCCTAGGTGCAACTCGTCCCCGATCCCCCCCACAGGCGGTGTCTCCACTGCCGCTGCCTCCCCTAGTTTGAGCAGGAGACCCACGGACTGGGCCCTTTGTAGGGCCACAGACCAGCGCTGCCTGAACTGGTGCAGGAACTTAGCAGCGTAGAATGACTTGGAGTCGGCGTTGAAGTGGCGCCGGGCTGCAGTGTCCGCCAAGAGCTTCAGGAAGACTGGCACTTCAGCACAGGGGCAGCCGTAGGTATCCACCGCTAGAGGAAAGAAATTCACTGTCTCTGGCCGGGCAGCGTAGTGCTTGACTTTCTTGTCAGCCTGCTCCCGCGCCGCCCAGCCCCTGCCCTTCTGTGCCTCCGGGTCCCTAGTGCTAATGGGATCAGTGATGGTGACGTCGCACACGTAGACAGCGCCGCTGCTTGTGTCTGTCATCGTGAAGTCCGCGGTCTGTTCCTCAATGGGGCAGTATGCCGAGGTTTCGCTATGGACGATGAATCCCGCGTCTTGGGCCATGCTAATACAAGCATCCCGCAGCTCGTTGTGGGTGTTGATACGGTGCTTGCCCGTGCCGCAACGGAGAAGGTGGTTAGGGAGGCGGGGGTCTGGGATAGCGGTATGGTCAGAGCAGTCGCCGTTTTTAGGCGTGGAGAAAGGAAGGGCCAGCCGGAAGCGCAAGGCATTGGAGAAGTGAACGGGCCCGATCCTTCTGTTCGCCGTAATGGGGATGGCTGTTAACCAGTCCCCGGTCCCATAGCCGGTCAGCGAAAACATCCGCTGCGTGTGTCCGCTCAGGGGGTTCAGCTCCATGCGCCGTGTCTCCTGAACCTGCACGGCGTATCTGCTCCCGTGCACCTGTAGAGCTAGTGCATGTTGTAGTCGCATATCCGTCCGCTTCAGCCGCTCCTTCTCCAGGATTTCTCGTGCATCCAGGGGTAACGCGGCTTCGCACTCAGTGAGCCACTCGTGGAGGGGAGTGGTGACGTCTGTCGGCAGCAGCATGTGATCCCGAGCCCGCGTCAGTGCGCCGCGAGGGGCACACTCCAGTGATGCCAGAAAGAGCGCGGCCTGTGTGAAGCTCGCGGTGTAGCCGTACACCCCTTCGATTAGGGGGTCTGTAATGCCGATTCCCCCTAGCGACAGCGGCAGGGAAGCTTGCGCCCACACGCGAGATTGCTCGGCGCGGTGGGTTGGAACGCGGATGCCACAGGCGGTCAGTAGCGTCGTAAGTAGATCCATCCCCCACTGGCTCCAGGTATCGCGCGGAAGTAATCGTAGCGGCGTCGTCCTGGTGAGATATGCCACCCGCCTCGAGATACAGCGGGTGAGCAGCAGTGATGCAACCTGGGGATCGGCTTTCTCCAGGAGTGGTAATGGTTTTGCCATCTCCCGCAGCTGTCCCGATAGGAACTGCGCTGCCCCACGGTCGGGGCCTACGAAACTCCCCAGCAGCTGCACGCCGTCTTGGGAAAAGGGTACTCCCGGCGGTAGTTGGTCAATCTCTGCTGCTGTTCTGCTCCAGGCTGCACATTTACCTGGGTTGTGTGCCAGCCCCAATTGTGTCAAGTTGGAAGTGAAGTGGTTGAATGCCGCTACAGTGTCGGCCATGTTCCCAAGGAGCGTGACATCATCTGCGTAGGCCAGACAAAGCACGTCTGGGTGTGTGGTGGCGGTGTCGCGAAGTGTGGCGTGAATCCCAGCCGCGAACAGTAACGGACCCAATGGGTCTCCCTGGCGAACTCCGCGTTCACTTCGCAGGGGTTCGGAGTTGAAGTTGACGTCCAGAAGCAGCTGCGAAGGGTTACCGTAGGTGAGTTTCACGAACGGTAGTAGCGGCGAGAGGGCGGGGTCTTGTAACGCTGTGGCGATGGCATGTCACAAAACGCTGTTGAACGCGTTCGCTATGTCCGCTTGCAGTACCATGCTGGTGGGGTGAGCATCCAGGTAGGCTCTGGCCGCGTGGATTACTGTTTTGGCTCCACCTGGCACTGCCACGCCGTACTGTAGAGGTAAGAAGAACTCGCGGGCAGCATCTCCCATTGCTGACAGGGCCGCTTTGGCAGCCAACCCCGTCAAGCACTCGCCTATCGCTATTGGCCGAGTCCCTCCCCCAGGTTTGGCCAAGGCGATGAGGAGGTTTGCCACCGAGGCTGGCAAATTTCCTCCAAGGATGGTGTTTACTAAGGCGTGCAGGTGGGTGCTGACCAATGCATTTGTGATTGCCGCGTCGCGCAGGTGCTCAAATGTCATGCCCGACGGCCCGGCTCCAACTCCATTTTCGCATCTACCCAGCATTTTGGCAAAGTCAGCATGCGGGATTGACAGCGTTGACCCTTGTGGCGTGGACCATGTCACCTCCCCGGGTTCAGCAGGCGGGTGCTTCAAACGCAGCTCCTCCAGGATTTCGGGGCTCGGGGTACAGACGGGTGTTGACTCCAGGGCCAGCACGGCCCGTCGCAGGCTGCCACGTTTCGCCAGGCCTTCGGCTCGGCTGAGCACGCCAGCTGCGTCGGGCTGATGTCGAGGCGGTGGAGGCACGTTGACTGCGTCCGCCGCGTCCTTATACAGCTGCTCCCATTCGCCACGCTGGAAGGCTCGGAGTCGGGTCTTGATTTCCGGCCAATTCGGTCTTCGTGGCAAGGTTTGGCGAAGTGTTAGGCGCGGGAGAAACAACAGCAGGCGCCAACCTGTCTCTGACTCGGGGTTTCGTGAGAGGTGCAGTAACGGCGTCAGTAACGCCAGCGAGAACAGATGGCACAAGTTTGGCGGTAAACGCCGCGACAGTGGAGGCTGACGACTGTCGCATAGTGCTGCGATATCCCAATTTGTAATGCCTGCGAACAGGTCTGTCCGCTTCGCGAGCTCGTCTGGTGAAAAGTAGCGGGGAAATGATGCTGATGGGCGTGCCGTGGTACGGGCATTGGTGGTTCGATTTCTCCCGGCGCGGCTCGATCTTATTGGGGGGCTTGAAGTTGGATTTGCGTCCGTCCGATCGACATCGGACGATGGTCGAGCCATCTGTGGCGCTTGCAAGTCCGTCTGCTGCACTACCTCTTCCCTTCGCCTTGGTCCTTCTCTCGCCATGCCTTCTCCTTCCGTCTCCTCGTTCTCGCTCTTGGGAAGAGCTTCTTCCCTATAAGGTGGGTCATCCCGCTCGTCTTCGTCATTAGATTCCTCCACGGTGTTTAAAGCCCTTCTCGCCGCCCTCTGATACCCATTCTCTGGTCCTCCGCCCTTTCCGCTCACGGTTTCTCTTCTCGCCCCGCGGCTTCCCTGCTCTCGAGATGGTGATTGCTGGAGCACCTGAGCCGTCGCCAGGGCACGCTGCCGCCTGGTCGGCTGTGGTCGCCAGGCCTCCGGCGGGGCCCGAAAGGGCGACCATGGCGACGGAGCCCCCTCTACCTCCGGCTCCGAGGCACGTGACAGCAGTCTCTGAAAAGACTCATCCCCACGCACCCGCGACTCCCCTTGTCGGGGCGGAGGCTGGCCCGACCGCTCACGCTGCTGTTCCGTCTGCTCCGCCTGTGTCACCAGGCACCCAGGCTCCCCTTGGCGGGCCGTCGGCGTCTGCCCCTACTGGGGGTGTTGCTGAACCACCTGCGTCTGTCCCTGGCGCCCGTGTTGCGCCGAGCGCTTCTGCCCCCTGCCTGCCTGCGCAGGTCTCTGCTTCGTCACCAAAGGCGGCGTCCGCCACCACTGGCGAACCGGCTCCGTCGGTTGCGCCTGCGGCGGCGGGTCAGTCCGCTCCCACTGTGACGGCGGTGGTTCCTGCAGGCCAACCGTCACGCCCTCTGTCGCCTGACCATCGCTCGTCGCGGCCCCATTCCCCCGCTCCCCACCAGGAACGCAAATCATCTCGTCGCCGGCGTGAGTCTCCACGGCGGTACCAGCAACAGTCGCGCTGGCCTGCTCACCCCGGGGGTCAAGGGGATTGGAGGGGTTCCCGTGCTCATGGCGGGGGCGGGGGGCATCGCCCACCTGTGACGATGGCGGATCTTCAGCGGGAAGTGTCGAGGGCGGTTCGGGAGGAGAGGGCGGCGCAGAGCCAGAGCAGTTCGCTGCGCGCCTTGCCAGCCCGCGAGGCTCCCCGTCCGGCTGCGCTCCCCCCAAACACGCAGCCTGTTGCTGCGCCTCCCCCCCGGATCCAGGCGCTCCCGGCTCCTTCTCCCGCTGTATCGGCGCCTGCTCCCGGCTCTCGACTCCAACTGCCACCGGTTCCGCCTGTTGCGGGGGTGGAATTTGTGGCCGCAGGTGGCGGCTCATTGGCGGCTCCGTTCGCTCTCCCTGCTGATGCTGATGAGCCGCTCCAGTTCCTGGCGGAGGCACTCCAGCCTCCGCAGACCCGTGTTCCCGAGGCGACTCTCGGACAGCTACACCGCCTCGCTGACAGTCTCCATGCTCTGCTGCTGATTCAGGTGCTGGCCCACTCGTCTCTCCCTGTGATCCCTCGTGAGACCTTCCGTGGCCGCCAGCGTGACTCGTGCCTAGACGCGGCCGACCAGCTCGCGGTGCTGCTGGCGCCCGTGCTGGC